CAAATTTTTATCATAAAGCTCGCAAGAGATTGGCGGATGCTTTCTCGGATGCTAGAAAGAAGAACAAGAGGCCTGGGTGCTTACTTGAGAATTTGTGGAATGATTTACAAAGGCAATGGCTTACCGCGTAGTTCTTAAAGAGGAGCGAAAAAGGAAAGAAAGCTCGCGCATCCGAGAAGGGAGGCTCCTTGCACACTGGAGGTGCGATCAGCCTAGGGACAATAAAAAGAAGATTGGTACGTAATTGCTTGAATTACTTTACTTTTATAAGTATATCTATTCTTTTTATTTACTAAATTAATTTATTTTCATGAAAAGAAGTATGGGCATCCAATGAGTCATGATGAGCTATTCAAGGAGACACATATTGTGAAGAAGAAGAAAGAGGGGGATCAAGATAGGTGGGTCGAGGACCGGGCCTCGACTGCATATGTAAGCTTTCAATTTTATTTAAGTATTATAATTTACTTTTATAAAAAACTTGAAATACTGATTTAATTTAAAATAATATAGGGTCGCTACCAAAGTAACGTGGAGGAATTCATCCGTAGTCATCCAGCTGGTGAATCGGGTGAGCCAACCCAACCTTCGGACGAGGATGCTGAAAGAATATGGTTGGAGTCTGTTGGCGGTCCAAAATGGGGGAAGGTATACGGGCTTCCTACTAAAAACTTCCATCGCTATAAGTGTGGAATACGAGAAATAGGGACTTCCTCGCAAGGCGAGCAACTTAATAGGGAGAGTCTCTCCGCTATGCGGAGACAGTGACAAAGCTCACATCCGAGTTAGAAGCGGCCAAGGAAAGATAAAGGCTTAGAGATGCTCAATTCCTTGGCATGCAAGCTCAGATCAGAACTCTCCTATCTAGTGGAGCTTTTTCGTTGCCCCGATCTCGTGAGTCATCTCCAGAGGGTCGACCACCACGTGATCGTTCCTCCCGTCCTGCTCGTGATCGTTCCTCCCGTCCTCCCCGTGATCGTTCTTTCCGTCCTCCACAAGACCATTCTCTATACCATCTTGTAAATGAAAGTTCATCAGACGGTGATGATGATGTTGTAGAAAATACCCCTTGACTTTTATATACTTTGAACTAGACAAATAGAATTAGTTTTGAACTAGTTGTAATTAGTTTTAACTTGGTTTTGGATTTTTATGTTCAATTGAACTTTAATTTGTTAGTTTTAAAGTATTTATTGAATGTTTTGGTTGTTGTTGTGTTGTTGTTGTTGTTGTTGTTGTTGTTGTGTTATTGTTGTTGTATTGTTATTGTTATTGTTGTTATTAGGTATATTGGTATGCTGGCATGTGGTGTAGCTGCCAAAACAGGCATTTTATGCCAAAATTAAACCCATAAAAACCGACCAAAGTTGGTCGGTTTTTAATAAATAAAAAAATTAATCCAAAATACCGACCAAAGTTGGTCGGTTAATGAATATTGAATTCCCAAAATTCAACATTACCCACCAACTTTGGTCGGTATTTTGCCTGCACTGTTGAGGTTACCGACCATAGTTGGTCAGTAATGTTTAATGTTAATTATTTTAAAAATATATATATTTTCAATTACCGACCAAAGTTGGTCAGTTTTTTTAAATTTTAATAATTAATAAAAAAACATAATTTAATTAAACCGACCAATTTTGGTCGGTAAGATTAAATTAATAAAATATGTTTCCGACCAAAGTTGGTCGGTAAGTACTTAAACTTGTCAGATGGTCGTTTTAAGCTACCGACCAACTTTGGTCGGTAAGCCATTCCGACTATCAAAACACCATCCACACCCTAATGGTCGCGTTTTGGTCGGTAATTGGCCATAACCGACCAACTTTGGTCGGTTTTTTTGGTCGGTTTTTAGCGAATTTCTAGTAGTGTTTAGGGATAAATTATCCCAGGGCTGGATTGGCCTTATACGGTACTGAGTGACTGACTGTCAGTCGATGTGTACTTATATACGGGTTGGAACACCCCTGAGCTGGATTGTCCATAAACAGTACTGATTGACCGGATAATTTGTGACCAGTATTTACATAAGGTCTTTCTACTGAGATGTCATATGCCTCATATCATGCAGCATTGATCTATTTCACTTGTATTGAGTTTAACTCTTGAACTTGAAAGCATGCCTACATTTCTGTATCATTACTTTTACTGGACTGTACCTGCGGAGCTCATCATTTCTTTCAACCCAGAGGTTAGTCTTGTTACTTATTGAGTTAGTTGTACTAATACTACACTCTACACCTCGTGTGCAGATCCAGGTGCTCCCGGATACGACGACTGCTATAATTCAGAGTTATTTCTGTTGGAGAGTATCAAGGTAGCTGCTTCACGATCACAAACTTGATTCCCTTCCTGTTTAGTTATTGTACTGTTCTATACTTCAGACAGTGATGTTTATTAGTCAGACTTTGTATTCATTTAGATGCTCAGGTACTCAGTGACACCGGGTTTTGAGAGTGATATATTTGAAATTTTTGAGATTTCTTTCGCTGAACTTAGTTTTTTTTTTTTTTTTCAAATTCAAAAGAAATGGTGGTTTATTGAGATTTTTGGCTTGCCTAGTGTTGAGATAGGTGTCATCACGACATGTGAGATTTTGGATCGTGACAAATTACCTCCATAGAATCAGTCTTGACTCCGAGAGGAATTAGGTTATTGGGTACAACAGAAAATTCTTATATTGGCAAATAATATGAGTTTTATCTTCTTGAACCGACAGTATAAAATTTAGATATCGTGCAGTTAAGTTGACCTATATTGTATAATATATGATAATTAACCTAGTCAGTTAGTTAAGATGTATAATACAAACCAGCTAGTCAGTTAAATTCATTGATGATTTAATTTGTTTTCTTTCACAATTAGAGTTAATAATTTAATCCTAATAAAACATACTCAATTTGTGAAAAAAATAATATAATAAAATCATACAATGTGATCCATGTTGGAGGAAGATTATATTGCAAATGAAACGATAAGCTGCTGGGTGCTGGCCGCCTATATATTTTATGCTAAATGGATCAGTCATTAGTACAATAATTTCAGATTATGGACTTCCTTTCATATTTATAAAATAAAATGACAGCTTTGATATCAAAATTAGAGAGAGTAAAAACAAAAATATCTTAAAAGAATAGGATATATATATATATATATATATATATTGTCGTTAACAGAGGCGGATCCAGAATTTTAAGTTTATGGGTTCTATAAAAATCTTAAGTTAATATACAATAATAACAGGATTAAGGAACTTGATTTCAAGCTAAATATTCTTATAGTAATGATTTTTTTTATTAGGTTTAATTGTATAATAGTAGTATCACATGTTTACATGGTCAGTAATTCTTCTTTGGGTCATACTCATGGATGCGACTATTAGAATATTAATTATTGGATCAGACAGTAATGCAATAATTACAGGAAGTGGGTCGCTTTTACAGATACAAAATGAATATCTTAAACAGAAAAAAGAAATAATTGGTACGTCAAATCATTAGGTTTTTCTGTAATAAAATATAATAGTACTATCACGTGTTTCACGAGTGATTCTTTTTTGTGTTATATCAATGTTTATATAAGAGCACAAGGTTTACCATTTGCTTCATCATCTTCTTCCCACAAACATAGAAAGGTATCTCCCCTCCCTCCCTCTCCCTCGTATTTATTTTTTAATTTTTTATTACATAGGAGAGAAAAGGATGTTATGCTATTGAGGGAGTTTGAACTCTTTATTTTTTTGTTTCTCATCCGGGTGTCCGCTGTCCGGTATTCGCATTAAAACCGACTATATCCGAATTCACCTTAGATAGGGCTCATTCGGGATAGCGTTTCCTACCAAGGATTTTTATTAACAACTCTTGATTTTTGTTAACAATTCATGCACTAGCTAGTCTTAGCGATGGCGGATCCAACTATACAATTTTATACTTATTTGTTCAGCTCAGATTCCACACTATTGAATTCTTTCTTTTTAACTTGTGTATTTGCTTTTTGCAGAACATCATCAAAGGGGCAAAGAGCAAATTAAAATGCTGAACAAAAAAAGTCATTTTGTTTTCACATTTTTGGCGATACTTCTGCTCTTGCCCCTTAGTTTTTTCTCCAGTACAAATGCCCATAAACCGTTGAGGAGACATCTTTTGAGCCATGAATCAGAGAATTATGCAGTTATATTTGATGCTGGAAGTACTGGCAGCAGAGTTCATGTCTTTCGTTTCAATGAGAATTTGGAACTTCTTCCCATTGGCAACGATATCGAGTTTTTCATGGCGGTAATTTCATTTTGACGAGTTAAAGTGGCTTTTGTTTGTTTAAAATAAGTTAGTGGGCGTTCGGACATAAGAATTGTAAAATTCTAAAAAATATTAAAAATAATTTCAAGAAAAAATGTTATTTGAAAATTAGAGTTAGTGTTTGGACGTGAATATAATTTTGGGTTGTTTTTAAAATTTTGCAAGTGATAAAACAGTTTTGGGGATTTTTTAAATTTTTGAAAAATTCCAAAATACATTTTTAATTAAAAATTAAAAAATTTATGACCAAACGCTGATTTCGAAAAAAGTAAAGATTTTTCGAAAAAAGTGATATATTTCTTATGTGTAAAAACGGGCTCTTCAAAATCTCTAATAACTTAGTATATATCTTAACTCCTAAAGAAAATGGTAGTAAAAAGTATACTACCTTTGTTTTAATTTATGTGAATCTGTTTGGCTGGATATTGAGTTTAAGAAAAAATGAAAACTTTTGAATTTGTGGTCTTAAACAATTCAAAAAGGAGCTCAAAATATTTGTGTGGTTATAAAAGCTTGGATAGAATTATAAGTTTAAGCAAAATTATTTTCAAATTAAAAAAAAAGATTATTTCTTTTGGAACAGACCAAAATAAAAATAGATATACGTGAAGTGGAACGAAGTTAGTATATAAATGGCAGATCACATCTAATTTATTTGATAAGAGTTGCACTTAGGGTAGATCCCAAGACTAGAGAGCATGCTCACCATTATTAATGGATTGCAAGAATTTTTGTTTACTTTAACATTTCTCACGTTAATGTATGAAGGTTTCGGAAGGGGAGCCTCGGCAAGGGTAAAATTGCGGTTTGAGCATTGTACTGGGCTGTTTTTTTTTTTTTCTTTCATTTAACTAAAAGAGATTTTTTTTTTTTTATGAAGTAGAAAAAATATTTTTTTTATGAGTTTTTTCTTTTAATTATTTAGAAAAAATATTTTCAATTTTATGTTGTAAAAATTGTGCTTTCTTTTTTAACTAAAAATGTATTTTTTTTAGTTATGGATCACAAATTTCAACGTAGTTTCTACGTAAAAAAAATAAAAATAAAATAACATATTAGTTACTTTGAATTTGTTTGAACTTTTTAACGGTTATTTGGGGGCGGGTGAAGAACACATGAAACATATTCTATTCTTACTTTTTTTTTAATTCCTACTTTTTACCATTAAATCTTATGATATGAATTTCACCTTTTTTGCAGACAAAACCAGGTCTAAGTTCATATGCAGATGATCCTAAGGCTGCAGCCAACTCTTTAGAACCACTTCTAGAGGGAGCTGAAGGTGCTGTTCCTAAAGAATTGCAATCGGAAACTCCCCTCGAACTTGGGGTCGGTATTAATTACCATTTAATTAGCATATGTTAATATGAGTTTAACTTTTATAAACAATTTACGATAAATACCGAAGAAAATGAGTCGGCTTTGGCTTACTTTGTACATATTCATCGGTACTATGTTTTGGGATGAATGGTTGTCGTCACATATTGCAAAGTAATGCGTATACTATCATGTCACTTATAATAAGTATTTATAATAATTCAGTTGTAACTTATTTATAAAATAAGATAATAAGTACAACTTGTAATCTGGAAAATAAGATAATAAGCAACTTGTAATCTGGAAAATAAAATAATAAGTACAACTTGTAATCTAGAAAATAAGCCAAGCAACTTATTATAACAAGTTAAATAATCGCTGATAGTGTAAAGCTAGCTCTTTACTCTGCAACTTATTATAACAAGTTAAATAATCGCTGATAGTGTAAAGCTAGCTCTTTACTCTGCAACTTATTATAACAAGTTAAATAATCGCTGATAGTGTAAAGCTAGCTCTTTACTCTAACGGTGTATATGTAAGTTTTAAATCCTATTAACATGATATACCATTCAATTAATCATAAAATAAAAGTACATTGGTCCAATCTGAAACGCTAATGGCCCTTCACTTATCTTTTTCTTTGATAGAATAATGCAAGTTGCGTAATTAATTATTATTCCAGTGTCATATAGTATTGTTTATAATAAATAAAATAATATTTTTGGCTGCTCTTTTAATTGTTTTTTTGTGCGAATAAACATACAGGCAACAGCAGGTTTGAGGATGTTAAAAGGGGATGCAGCAGAAAAGATTTTACAAGCGGTATATGTTTTCATTAGACCTTAATTATTACTTGAAGAAATTTATTTTTATTTTTCATAATAAGAATGTTAGGTTAGTCCTCCTTTTACTAATTTATTAATTAAGACTTTTTGTTTTTTTCAATTTTAAAAGGTGAGAGATTTAGTCAAAAATGAAAGCACCTTCCACACAAAAGATCAATGGGTCAGTATTCTTGATGGAACTCAAGAAGGCTCTTACATGTGGGTAAGTCAATTACAGCAAAATACTTTCTTTTCTTCATCTTCTTCTTCCCCCTATTTATTTAATTTATTATTTACTTTTTAGCTAAGTATTCGTAGGCTATTTTAGTTTAAACAGTTGAGTTTAAGTTTTTATTTTTATTTTTTGTGAGTCCCTTCGGATACTCAAAGGCCTCGGAATATTCTACTTAGTCAACTCAATTATGCAAATGAGGCTATTAAAAAAATGCAAATGAAAATAGCTTTTTCTCACGTGTCGCATTCGAACATGTAACTCTCATTACGATTTCTCATTAGTAAATAACTGCACCTTAAAAATAAGAATTTAACTATATTTTTCAGTTTATTTAACCTTTTATTGCAGGCTAATTGCTCTTTTTTTTTTCCCTTCAAATTATCATATTAGATTTGTTATGAATAGCGAGAGAACTCAAAGTCGTAGATCTTATATGTAATCAGCTATTATTAAGTTGAATATCTTCTTTAAATAATTTGTTGTTGGTGTTTATTAATATACAGGTTGCAATAAATTATCTATTGGGAAATTTGGGTAAAAACTATAAAAGTACCACAGCAACAATTGATCTAGGTGGTGGTTCAGTCCAAATGGCATATGCCATATCAAAGGAACATTTTGCAAATGCTCCTCAAAATGAAGATGGAGAACCCTACGTTCAAGAAAAACATCTTTTGGCAAACGATTATTATCTCTACGTCCATAGGTTTGTATATATTCCTCTCCTCTATAAGAAATATACTGAGATACTAACATTATGTAATAAAATTTAACTACTTATAGTATATATTGACAAAGTAAAATACTTTAAAAATAAGTATACATTGACACACAAAATCTAACAAGTATATATTGTATGCAGTTATTTGAACTATGGACAGCTAGCTGGCCGTGCTGAGATTTTCAAGGCTTCAAGAAACTATAGTAATCCTTGCGCTTTGGAAGGATATGATGGTATATATATTTCTCTCTATTTTCTTATACATTATTTTTTACAATAATATCGATGTGAACATTCTCAATATACGAGAAATGTTGTGCTAAGATGCTAAGAGTTTAAATTACAATACACCAGTAATATATATCTTATAGGCTACTTACAAGTAATTAGTCAAATGCACTGATACAAGAGCATCATTTTGTTCTTTTCAAGGGTACTACTCATATGGAGGAGTGAACTACAAAGTAAAAGCTCCATCAAGTGGTACTAGTTTGAAGAAATGCAGGGCATTAACTAGGAAAGCACTTAAAATTAGTGCACCATGCAATTACAAGAACTGCACATTCAATGGAGTTTGGAATGGTGGAGGTGGAGCTGGATCCAAGACTGTGCATGCTTCATCATTTTTCTATGATATTGGTGCTCAGGTAAAAGTTTTGTTCGACAGGATTGGGATCTAGGGTTTCAAATTTATGTATTCCTATACAACGACCTCAAGTTAATATACACTAATAATTGATTTCGAAGTTAAATACTTATACATAGATATTTGATGAATTTCTTAATACATATATAAGATTTGAACAAAAGCTATTGAGTTCACATGAATATGTCTCTAAATCCCACGTGTTCAACTACTCCAACATTTATTAGAAAGAAAAGGAAAAAGTCATTCGTTAGAATTACTAGTTAACTTTTATTGATAGCCTTCATCAAAGTGGTTTGTGTCTAGTTAGATAAAATCACATAAAAAAATATATTCATGGTTAATAAGTATAAACGGAGCAATACGGATAATAAAGATTCATATAGTTAACTCCAACTTACGGATTGAAACGTAGTAATTGTAGTTGATGTGATGATCAATTCAATCGAAAATTTATAAACTCGGACTAATTGGGGTTCAATTTGTATTGTAGGTTGGCATTGTGGACAGCAAATTTCCATCAGCAATAGCAAAGCCAATTCAGTACCTAAATGCTGCTAAAGTTGCTTGCAAGACAAAAGCAGCAGATATAAAATCTGTATTTCCAAACGCTCAAGATAGAGATATCCCATACTTATGCATTGATTTGGTATATGACTACACTTTGCTTGTCGATGGATTAGGTAAGTTATTTTTATCGTTCTTTTATACTGTTGGTATATATAAGTTAAATGCAGTATCAATTCAAACAGAAAATAATTTGGCACTTAGACTTTTTTCCCTTGCTTGCTTACCTTTTTTTAAATGCATCTTTGGACAGGATTAAATCCATACAAAGACATTACAGTGATGCATGATGTCAAATACAAAAATTATCTTGTTGGAGCAGCTTGGCCATTGGGATGTGCCATTGATTTAGTTTCTTCATCTCCAAAGAAGACTAGAATATCATCACATTAGTGTTATGTTATTCAAATGTTGCAATAATGTCATGCCCTTTGCTTTGTTTTCTATCTTGTATTTTGAGTCACTTGATATTAATGGGCATTTCCTGTGGATTCAAGATTTTGGGTTCGTGGGTGTTGAACTTTTTTTGACGTACAATTACTACCAATCACGGTAAATATATTATAAACGCGTGTAACGAAAAATGCAAAAGGCAAAAAAAATTTTTAATGAATTTTGCCACTCTAGAGGAACTATTTGTTTTTAGAAGGGGCGAACTTTGAAGTTTCTTTTTTTTTTCTTGGTTATAGAGAATTACTAGGTAAAATACAAAAGGAAAAACTTTATAAAAAAATGGGAAGGTAAAATAAAATTCAGGGAAAAAGTAGTCTGGAATAAAAATAAATAAAGTAGTAGTATTGGATAAAATTAAGCGTGCTGTGGTAAGGTTAGTGGATGCTGAAGCAACCAAATTTAGCATGTAGATCCGCCCATGGCTTGATAACTATTTCTCCTACCCTCATAAAAGATCTCATTGGAGCGGTCAATCCCATGCATCATTAATCATAGCAAGTGAATTAATATATAGGCCAAACACATTCAACTTGACTCCATTTTTTATTTTGGCACTCTATCTCAATCTTGTTCCATTTTGACCCTTCAACTCTATTTTTTATGTTTCATTTTAACACAAAAGCAGAAACCAGTGCAAAAGAATATAGCGCGTGTGTATACACAAATCTGAGGTGTAATAAATATCCAATTAAATGTTGCCACCTTATTTTTTCATCATTTATTTCATATAAGCTTGAACTTTGAAGTGAATCCACGTCTAAAAGAAGGATGAACAACATTTAATTGGATATTTATTACATCCCAGATTTGTGTATACACACGCGTTATATTTTTTTGCACTGATTTCAGCTTTTGTGTTAAAATAAAAAGGTAAGAAATAGAGTTGGAGGGCCAAAATAAAACAATACTGAGATAAAGTGCCAAAATAAAAAATGAGACCAAATTGAACAGGGCTGTATATGTATTTGGCCTAATATATAAATTTGACAAAATGATTTTTGCTCAAATTGATTCGAATGACAAAATGATTCTTTGTTAATTTCCGGTTTGTATCCTCTCTATTTCGAGTAGAATATGTTAAATATACTTTATTAAAATAGCATATGACAGAGAACACAAATAACAGTAGATCACAAAGCCATTGGGCATACCACAAAAATGTGGGCGTTGTTTTTACTCTCTCAGTCTTAAATTATCTGTCGTGTTTCTTTTTTACACGCCACTTAAACTTTAATTAGAAAAGAAATTAGACTATTTTATCCTTATTTATGTCTTAAGATAAAATCTCTCTTCATTGAATATTTATTTTATTTTAGTGTTATCTCCATCTTCAAAAACAATTATTACTAAGGGTAAAGGAAAAAAATAATCAATTATATTTTGAATTTCTAAAATGACAAATAATTCGAGACACCTATTTTTAATAATCGACTGATAATATTTGACACAGGAGTATTTTTTCTCCTTTTCCTCTTTCCCTTTTAAGCATATTAATTATTACATGGCAAAATTATGTCGGACGGACTTTTTTAAAATCACCATTTAATTTTTAATCCAGTTAAAAAAATCTGTTTTCTGAAAAAATAGCCCCATGTTAGAAATGTAAAGCACACTGGTCAAAATTTTAAAGTGCACAGTATTTTAAAGTACGAAGAATCCTGACGACCACTAGAATTTTAGCCATAATGCAAAAATTCTGGTAATTTATCAGAAATTGCGTAGCCAATTACACAAAAATATAGCAACTGCCAGAATTTTATGACGACTACCATAACTTGTAATATTAATTCCAACGCTTCACCATGTGACTTTTCCAAAAAATTCTAATCAATGTACTTCAAAATTACAATCGGGAACTATTTTTTTAACTTTCCTTATTGGGGTCCAAATATAAATGATGGCACCAATATTCCGTGAAAATAGCATATGCTAGTCAATTTTCGGACTGATAATTGAAAAATAACCAATATTTGTAAATTTATTAAAAAATAGTCACTATTTTGCTAAAACACGAAAAATTCTAACATAACATGCGGGATTATGGAGCTCATGCATATAAGCTTCTAGCATATTATGTTGGAAATCTAGCACATGGAAAGTTCCCGCATAATATGTTGGATTTATGGAGCTCTTGCATATAAACTTCCGGCATATTATGTTGAAACTCCAGCATATTATGCTGAAAGATCATGTAAAAAAAATTGAACTCCAACATATTATGGTGGAGTATTTCCGGATTTTTAGGAGTATTTTTGTTCAGATTTTATCTTTATATGAAAAAGTAACTAAATTTCGATTACTTTTGAAACCGTGACTATTTTTCAATTACCAGTTTTAAATATGGTATTTTTTATTTTTCCCCAAATATTCCTATTTTTGCAAATCACCCTTATTATACTGGGCCCAAAAAATGGTCATTAGGACTTTTTTCACTTTTAATCCGTGTCAGAAATTATTTATTTTCGGTAGCCAAAAAAGTGTGTGTATATATATATATATATATATATATGAATAGATATATTTTTAGTTATTATTTTGAGAGCGACTATATATTTTATACACTTTTTCGACTACCGAATATAAATAGTTTCAATTAAAAAAAAAAAGCCTTATTAGCCAAAAAAAAGGCCCAATAAGCAAGCCCGTTTAAGATGCCGTGTACTTCCATCGGTTGCCGTCCACACTGAAAGCTCAAAACTTTTCAGCTTGGCTATGGAGGCGAACACGTCAGCAACTGGACCCGAACCATTTCGTCTGTTTGATGAAAAATCCCAATCTGGGTTTGGGTTAGGATTTCTTGATGTCCCAGAAAACAAGCCTCTTCCACCTCCACCTCCTTCTGTTGAAGTACTTTCCTCACAGGTACTCCCTTTTGTACAAATACAAATACAACAACATATTACATTATTTTGTTAAGTGGTTAGTCATGAATAGTAAAATGAATTTATTTTTGTATCTTGAGTAGGTTATATCAAATGTGGAGTTTAATGTGGAGCCTATAAATTTGGATGGCCTTGCTTTACTTAAGGTAAGATTAGTTCTATTTTTTCCATTAACTCTATGGGGGTGTTTTATATACGGCAAAAATATTTTTCTTGATGAAATTATGTTTCAGTAGAAGTGAAGCCTTGGCGTAACTGGTAAACTTGATGTCAGGTAATCAATAGGTCACGGGTTCGAACTGTGTAATCAGCCAGAAATGTAATATAAAGCCATGTACAATAGACCCTTGTGATTCGGCCCTTTTCCGGACCGAACGGGAGCTTAGTGCATCTTTTAAATTATGTTTTTCAGTGTTTGGTTACTTTGAATTGAAGAAATATTTTCTCTCAAAGATTTTTTTTTTTGATAAGTTCAGTCATTTTTTCTTTACAAATATGCCGGCTTTTAGTTAAAAATAACTTGTTTCAATCAACATTTAGACAGATTTATGAACATGCTAAAAGATTCAATTTGTTGATCTTCTTTTTTCTTTTAAAAATATTATGGACATACTGAGATACAGTGGTTTGTTATTTGCTGAGCTCAAGAATGATTTAGCTTCAATTATATTTGGTTGCCCTAACGAGTGTTCACTTCTCTGTTAGGGAAGGGTGAGTACAAAGGAAGTATTTGGTTTGTCTAATTCAGATTTAGTCCCCGGCAAATATGAAGGTCTGTGACAATTTAGTTCTCCTCTTTACCTCTTTGGTGCTCATTATAACTACTGATACTTCAACTTGAATTGCGTGAACTTTATTTATTTGAATGTGGTTTAAGTATGAATGTTTTTAGTTTACTAAATCAGGAATTATAGGTAATATATGTCAATTTTTATTGCTGAATAAAGTTAGTACAACAACAACATACCCAGCCCACAAATGGGGTCTAGTGTGAGATAGAGAGACTGTTTGCATTTGGCCCTCAGCTCATTAAAGGCGTTTTCAAAACATGCTTGAAAAATACAAGAGTAAAAAACTAAGGATGAAATATTGAAGAAAAGAAAAGTATTGACACCAAAATAGTAGAGATAACCAAAGAAACAACATAAAGTAGTGGTGCAGTAAATATTACTTTGAAATATAAGAGGAGCGTTGTGGTAGGTTTACGACCAAAGTGAAAATAGTCAATCTTGTAGCATTATATGAATGAATTTTGGGTTTCTAAGTCCAAAATTTTCACGAGGTGAATTTCATGGGGAATACATATGCAATGATATATGGACAACCACATAAGATTAGACATGATTAAAAATGATCACATAGGGTAAAAGTAGCACACATAGTCATAGAGGATAAAATGAGGTCTCATGAAATTGTTTGATCATGTCCTACATAGATTTTCAGATGTACCTTTTCATTGGTGTGGCAAATGATGGTTGCAATTGGAATTTTAAGGAGACGAGGTAAACCTAGAATTACATCAAGGAGGAGTTTTGTGAAAGGACCTAAAATGGGAGGAAAATGTCTGTATAGATTGGTTGAGAATTAACTAGTTATCCATGAAGGAATAAGTGAGAGATTTAGAGTCCTAATTTTACTACAAAACAATAATTGATATTGGAATGAAATGGACCTGAATGGAGTAAAATAGATATAGAGAGTTCATATAGTTGACCCAACTTGCTATGAAATTGAGGCGTAGTTGATTGATTAACTTATAGCTAGAAACCATCCTCAATTAAATGGAACAACATTTTATAATAAAAACTATAATTCATCTAAGAGAAATCATAGTAATGATAAACTTCTCAAATAACAAGGAAAGAGTCAAAATACTTCTGTACAATCTTAATCTACGACATTGATGTTGCATTGAAACACGACTCAGGACATAGAAGCCATCTGCAACTGTCGAGTGAGTGATATCTTCACTAACACACGCTATAATATCTGTTCTAGTGTTAGAAGTTTGATATACTGTTGGCTGGTTTCCTTTCATGTGGGTGTGGTTACACTGAGGTTAAATTTATTGTTTGATGTTAATGGAGAAAAACATGATGAAGCTCATACAGCTAAATTGAGGAAGAAACGACTCAGTACAGAAATTTTATGCTTGTCAACTCCCAGTTAGACACTAATGATTGGCAAGTCCATTAATGGAAGATACAGTGGCGATTATTGGTCACTAATTAGGATGTGAAGTGCACCTAGATGACTGATATTCTCATTTGTGTTATTCTCTTTTTGCAGGCGGGCTGAAATTGTGGGAAGGTTCATTAGATTTAGTGAAGACTCTGAACTCCGAGATGCAAAGTGGGCAATTGTCACTGACTGGAAAAAGAGTTTTAGAGGTGGGCTCCTATTGTGGAGGTGAATCTTTGATCTTCTGCTATGCGTAGAGACTGCTAATCCTAACTTATTAAATCCACTCTTGCATTGGTTTTTTCCATTTACCTTCTCATTCCAATTTTAGTCAAAATGATGTCTGAATTACTGTATGCTGTGTTGCTCGGACTCTATGAAAATATCGTGGGGTGCGTGTCGGATTTTCCAAAAAAGGTGTATTTTTGGAGAATCCAACGCAGGTTGGAGGTATTTTGGAGAATCCACGCAACATAGACTGTATGCAAGTAGTAGGGTCAGATTGTTCATTAAGCATATTAAAGTATTTTTCCGTTTAACAGTATTTTCTTTCCCTATACAAGTCACATGGTTGATCTTTTATACTGTACTTGTGCAAGTGCTTATCGATTATGACACTAGAAGTTTCTATTGAGTACCCAGAGAGGAAATTTTGCATCTCCGATCAGTCCCCTGTCACTTGACTCAGGTTTTTCACTTAATAGAAGTCTTCTCCTTTGTTTGTTTAGTTGTTTTCCCCCCCTTCCATTTTAAATTTTATTTTTTCCTCCTTCCCTTTTTACTTTTTCCCCTTTCCCTTTTGATTGAACATAATAATCATTTGAGTTAAAATTTGTGATTGCCAGTGGAAATGTTGATTTTCTATAAAATGTCGTTGTAACGTCTTCATGTTGCTCATTGAAATAAGAGTTTGTAATGGTTATTGTCACTGTCATTATCGCTATTAGCTTTTGTTGTGATTGTCCTGAGGGATAGACACCCTAATGCGCTTAGATTTTCCAACTTAACTTGACTTAGTACATGACTCTTGTAATTATCTCACATTATTTACTTGTTGACTCTCTTTCACTTGTTTTCAGCTTGGTTGTGGTCATGGTCTTCCTGGAATTTTTGCCTGTCTGAAGGTACATGAATGCTTGAAGTGATTTGTGATTGCTTGTCTCGTCGTCCTCTTGATTAAGCATTTTGCTTTTGGTGTATTAGGGTGCTCGTGCTGTACATTTTCATGACTTCAATGCTGAGGTGCTGCAATGCCTAACTATTCCAAATGTCAATGCAAATATCCAACAGAATTTGTTGGCCACAGATAATGATAGCGCTGAAGTTCGCTTTTTTGCTAGTGACTGGAGTGAAGCTCATCTGATTCTTCCTCATGTACTTGCTGATGAAGGTGGCACAAAAAGCTGTAAAACAGTTGATAAGGCTGCTGGTTATGATATAATTCTCATGGCAGAGACAGTGTACTCAGTTTCTACTTTACCTACTCTGTACAAACTTATTAAAAAGGTTTGTTTTGATTTGAGTTTTAATATAGTTTTATCATTGAATTTCCTCACTTCTAAGCTATATCTTTCTTTCCGTCCTTTTTCTTCTTTGTGCAGTGCTTACATAGTCCTCATGGAATTGTATATCTAGCTGCAAAGAAGCATTATTTTGGTGTCGGTGGTGGATCAAGGCGATTTATTTCGATTGTGGAGAAAGACGGTGAGCTACTCTGTCTACTTTTACTCTTTATTCTTCGAAAAGTGACATTTATATACTTCCTACTACATTTTCTATTTGCGAAATGGAGAGTTGTTCTCTGAAGATGTTGAATTATGAAACTGGTATTCGTATTAGCTGTTAAATGTAGGTTATCAGTTATGTCTTATCTCACTCCCTTGTGACTGCCTTTTAGGGTTAAAGAATTACACATAGTTTTATCATATGTATTTGCGAGCGTGTGAAGTATATGATCCATCTAATGCCTAGTTTCCTATAGAAAGAGCTCAAGATTTCGTTGCATCCTATGCATACTGGAAACAGAGGAGCGACTAATCCTCTTGGATTATCATGAGGATGGATTCCAGTTACTACGCTCTTAGTATATATCCAATCGGGGTAGCGAGCTCAGTCCTAAAGTTTCATATCAGCGTCCTTGTGGTAGCATTGTACCTTACTTACTGTTAAAGCTGGCGCTAAACATACACTTATAAAACTCCATTGCTGCTAGTTTGCTCGTCTTACTGGTCACTGTTCCTTTTCTATCGTCGTTGCTTTAACCCTTTCCATTATTTCCAGTGGATGTTTTTCGCTCGTTTTAAGAGTTTCAACATGAAATTAACCTCATGAACTTTTACTTAATCAGGTATTCTAGCGGCTTCTCTAGTTGCTGAAGTTACAGACGGCTCCTCTAACGTTCGAGAAATCTGGAAACTCCACTTCAGGTGAAGTTTGGTTCAGTTGTCTGGTTCTAGTTTCTTGTAGCTCATCTTTCTAAAATGGGGAATCCAGAACATGATCTGTATGAAAAAGAATAGGGAATTGTTTTCTTTCTTAAATAGAAGACTAAATTATGTTCTATTAGTCATAACCTTACTTTAAGGGATCGCTTGGTAGGATGCATTAGAGAAAATAATGCATGCATTAGCTTTCGGTATTACGAATCCCTTGTTTGGTACACTTTTTCAACATATGTATTACTAATAATGCAAGTATTAGTTATACAACCAATTTGGTATTATCCTATGTATAAGTAATACTCGTTTCTCGGCACGTGCGTCGTTAAGTCATGTAGTTCACACCTATGTAATAATATTAATATTATTAAAACAGAATGTTTGAATAACTATACATGAGAGAATATAAAGTACAAGTTTCTTAGAAGCATGTGATATTTATTTTGATTTTGAAAGGATATCTTTCATTTTCGGGGGAATATTGAATTTTTTTCGATAAACACATACTTTATAGCATAGTGACCCATTGTATAAGTCTTTTGAAGGGTCAATATTTCTAAGTAGCATGTCAAGTAACCAGTTCAACAATGCATAAGTAAATATATTGAATTTTTATTGGTATTTGTAAACACACAAGTATATACACAGAGAATAATAAAATTATTATTATGAATTAAAACATATCAATCATCCAAATTAAACTCAATTAGGTGTTTAAACCATTTAAACACATGTAGAGTATTTGCATAATTAATTTGTTTTTTACTATGAGCAACGTTTCTCAAGTGTTTAAATTGCTCCAACTCTATCTGTCCAAGACTATAATTTTTAATTCCAAAAGAAATCTATTGCAAGATTATCCTTTATACCTTTATTTTTTTAGAATCCCATATTAAAAGAGAGAATTGTTCTAACTTCTACTACAGATCCATTACAGTTGAAAGATGTTATCCAAGGCATTAAAATAAGGTCTTATATCATAGTTTTAAATTACATGACTTATACACATATTTCCAAGTTTCGTCTCACTCAGTGGTCTATTAGAATAGAACCTAAATTGTTTATTTCTTAAATTTCTATGTTGTTTGGAATCCTCAAATACAATGAAAAAAGCAGTGATAACACAAAAGAAAATAAAAGATTTAAAGAAGTAACATAATCATCAACTGAATAGATAAAAATACACATAGCGTGAAGGAAGAAAAATATTAGAACTCACTCACATGAGAGATCATAACTATCTATTCTACTCCTATTTATAGATACTGCATTTCATAAATCACAAAAGATAAATAATTCAAGAATGAATGAATAGAACCCGGTTTTATTGTTGCTTAATTGTTTATTCACTTTGGAGTTGACTTTGCGTTCCATAGGCATGAATATCAATTTATTCCTCAAAATATATTTCTACCATTGGACAAATGTAGCATATTGGAAGAAACGAAATCTGTGCATCCAAATGTACCATCCTTTTCTAAATTTGGACAATATTTACATTCGGTGATGGGAGTTTGAAATTTTCCTCAAAACCGTTGGGTCTCTTTGGACGCTTTAGTTTCTTTTTAATTATTAAATATAGTATTTAGTAGGTTAATATAAGGGGNACAAATCATGATGGTATTAGCAATACTAAGACTATTAATGCATGCATTAGCATGGTTGAAGATAAAATTATCCTTAAAGTTCCTTAAAGTTAAAGAATATGGAGGATATTTTTGTAAATAACTAATTTTCTTAAAAGTTTATGCAATGCATTTTAATATTTAATACACTACACTAAACAACGGATAAGAAATAATCTCTGCATAACCAATGTTTGCATTATTAATACACCTTATTCAGCATTATTCTTATACAGTATTTTAAAAGGCTTTCTTAGGACACGCCTCGGGGCTCACCCTAGGCGGGGCACTATCAAAACGCCCTGAGGCTCACGTGTGGGGCTTAGTTCTGTGAGACTTATGCCCCCAACGCCCGACTGTACGCCCGAAACACGCCTAACGCTCTTCGCTCGGAGCCCGCCTCATAAATCCTAGCGCAAATCATGCATCAAAGTCCCTGATTAACATTGTTCACACTCAAATTTCTTTAACAAATGAATGATTAAAGTTTTATTCATCTATAGAAATATGAAGATTGAGAATAACTCAAATAATGAGTAATGATATTTTATATTTACTAATTGAGAACATCGGAGAGCTAATATTATTTGAATTAATAGAAAAAATTTATGTCTTCACTTGCTACTCGTATTCATATTTTAGTTCTATGTCTCTCAAAATTATCAAACTTTAATTATTTTACTATTTGAAAGCAATTTTATATTTACTCGAAAGGCGTAATATTTAAAACTACATTATTGATGGAGTTTATTGATTATTAACTTTTAGAGAGGTAAATCATATAATCTTTTATAATATGTTTTAAAATATTATGATCTTTTGATCGTTTGAAGACAAGACGTTATAGTTGATTTTTATCTTAATGTACTTTATATATTTTTATGATTATTTTTCTATTTTATTAATTTATAAATTAATAAATTTAAAAATTTATGGGACTTACGCTCCATGTCTTGGGGCATACGCCTCGCCCTGTGTTAAGTAAAACAGGAACCTTTTAAAACATTGTTCTTATACCCCTGCCAAACGACCCCTAAAAGTAGACAATACTTTGTCAAAGTCTTTGCCCCATATTCAATTCGTCTACTCTCAGGTAAATGCTACTGAGAAAGGAACGTGAGTCCCCACTCACCCACCCAATTTAATATATGTTTTTCAGTTTTTTTTCCCTTTCATTTTCACTCACTCACCATATTTAATATTATCCCCATTAGTTAAAAGAGTTACAGAATTTACCCTCTAAGTAAATATACTATTACATAGACCTTTTTAAGTTGGTTAACAACAAAAATATCATTTGTTTGACCACTTTACCGACTATTATTAGCAAAAATTGCAAAACCAGCTGAGTTGGAAAAACTATGACAGCTGAATTTCACTAACCAATTATTTTCCAAATAATGTCAGATATTAAAGAGAAAATTCTGCTCTTCTACTATGGGTGCCTGAATGTACAATGTTGTTTTGGAGAAATTAGAATATGATTAGCATGAATTTCATATGAAAGTATGTAAAGAAAAGTTGTCGATGCTTATAATGTAGGGGAAGTGCACGTGTAGTCATTCTCATAGATACTATTTAGAGATTAGTCTGAACTTATTTGTCCTGAAATTTAAACTTAGTCATTCTCATGAATGCTATTTAGAGATTAGTCGGTCCTTATTTTGTCCTGATATTTTAAACTAAAAATCTTAACTTCAGGACAACTTAAGACATTTTTGTCCTGAAAATTTAAAGTAAAAAATTAAAATTCAAGACGCACTGACTAAACTTACCAAAAGTAGTCAAACACATAAAAATTGAAGAACCAAATAAATAAGGTTCTTTCTCTCAAAGAATCACATGCAAAAATCTCCTTCCATATTTTAAACGTTATTAGCAACATTAGATACAAGACGGAAAAGAAATTTCATGGATGAGGTAGCAAATAAGGTGATGAAATACAAAAAAGAAAAACACAAAATTCATAAATCTAAGCAAAAAGGAACTTTTTTCAATGGGTATAGTTGAAATTCATTAAAAATATATAGATAAGCCAATATATAAAATTTGAGGAAGATTGGAGGTGATTTGGACTGGTTTTGTATCAAAATTCGTAATTAAATCGAGTTAAAAAAAGCTTCTCCGACACATGTATCACACATGTATCTCACACACAGGAATACATGTGATACACAATTGATACAAATAAGATACATATGTGATACACAAGTGATACACCGTGTGATACACATATTATGTTTTTCATGTTCAGTTTTTACTTCGAATTTTCAATTCAAACCACCTCAAAACTTCACCAAATCATTCAAAACTCAAATTCAAACTCCTTAAGATGTACCTAATCTATTATAATAACACCCACTCATAAGAAAGCAAAAATTTGACATTTGTTTTTTGCTACAAATAGCTAATTGGCTAATATTATTAATATTTAGCTTATATTAATAATATTTTATGAATTGACCAATTTTAATAATAAGCTACTTATAAATAAACATAACTTAGTAATTTTCCCACTTTTTACTGCAATTGCTCTTTCCCCGTAGCATGTGTGACGGATGATATCTATGTTTTGATCACATTTATAATTACAAGCTTGATAGGGCCTAGTAAATCGATCTACTAAATTTATTTATGGGGTATTATTATTTTTANATATACAAAATATAAAAAATTTATACATTTTTCGACTATTATCTTTACAACGGGTATACAATGTAATTTTTCCTATATTTATTGAGTTGTTCTAAATGATCAAAATAGCCAGTTAACAATAGAATTTGTTGTTAGTTCTCTATAAAATACTTGTTTGGCCGAACACCCAATAATCAGCCCGCAATAAATCGGAAAAGTATATATTAGTACTATGAATGACGCACCTTCTTGTTGTACTCGAATACTTGTTATAAAAAAACCCGAAGAACTAACCTAAATATTACCCAACTCAACTAGCTAAACTAAAAATAGCTATCGAATATATAATATATGTATAATATATATCGACTTGAAAAAGTAAATAATGAATTCGGTCGGTTATTTGCGTAAAGAACCCATTTAATATCCTTTACATTCTTATATTATAAGCATCTACAACTTATTTTTTTGTTTTTGTTTACATATTTTCATCTGAAATTCATGCTAATCATAGTCTAATTTCCCCCAAAACAATCTTGTAGATTCAGGAACTCATAGTAGAAGAACAAAATTTTCTCTTCAATATCTAACGTTATTTGGAAATTTTCTTCTAGTTTCACTTCTTTGTTATTCCAATCGCCGGTTGGGTTGGTCCAACCAAGAAAGGTATGAGATTTTTAAGCATTAGTTGGGCCGAATATTGTATGGCTACTTAGTGATTTACAACGGGAAAATGATACAGTATAACCGCTCTCAAAATATATTTTTTCGTATATATATATGTATTATACTTTTATGGGTTATCGAACATAAATAGTTTATGGCACAGAGTAAAAGCGAAAAAAGCGCATATTAAATTATGATTACGATATTCATTCTATGTACAAAACATCATATTTATAACTAGGGCCGGTTGTTATGAGTAAGGGTGTACATGGATCGGATTGGTTCGGATTTTATCAAAACCAATTATATCGGTTAGGATTGGTTCGGTTTTGTCGGCTTTTTCGGTTTTTTCGGTTTTTTTGTTACATGAATATTATTTCAACCTTGGATTATTAAAGTTATTGATAAAATTTTGATAAGTGAATATATGTTTACTAAAAATTAAAAATAAATAACAAACATATGATCTATTAAAGTGATCTTATGGGAGAATTGTTTTTATTACTACATAATAGTTTATTTTCTTAGTCGTCTACCAATAATTTTTGGTTAATGTACGCTTTCAGGGTTAACCAAATTTAATAATTAAACATAAAATCAATATGATACCTAAATAATGATATGTTCTATGTAATTTTAGATTATCGAAATACCACTTCAAATTCGAAAAATATATACTCCATCCGTTTCAATTTATGTGAATCTATTTTCTTTTTAGTCCGTGCAAAAAAGAATGACCCCTTTCCTTATTTGGCAACAATTTACCTTTACACAAGGATTTATAGCCATACAAAATATATGTGCCTCATTTTACATCACAAATTCAAAAGTCTTCTTTCTTTCCTTAAACTCCGTGCCCAGTCAAATGAGTTCATATAAATTGAAAGGAAAAAGACTAGATTTGTAGCTCCACTTTGGTAAATTATTCACGTTTATACCTCGTTCTACTTTCCGTCTAAATATGTCCCTACCATTAGCAAAGTAGATAAAATCGCCCCTAATTCTAACATATTCCAACGTGGCAATGGGACCCCTGAATTAATTTGCCAACTGGACAAATATCAACCCAAATTAAAAGACCCATATCCGACCCAACTATCACAAATGAATGGGTCAAAATATGGAAACAAATCGACGATGACAATGAAGAGGTCGTCGAATCGGTGTCGTCGGAGAAATTGCAAGACTCGCTGCCTGATGATTGCTCACTCCTCTTCGTTCCTCCACGGCTAAGCTGCCGCAGTCGCCGCCATCGACCGCTCTTTTTCTCTTCCATCAAATCATGAGAAAGAGAGCTCTCTTCTTTTTCTTTTCTGTGTCAGGGACTCAAATGGTTTAATGTGCACACATAAGCTAATTTTTCTACATATTTTGGATTTTATTTGTGGTTTTTACTGCAAATATTTAGAGGGGGAAGGTTAGAAAGAGGGATCCATCTCCGAGTTATCTATTTCCATGTTCTATTTCTTCGTCTTGTAGAAATAAATGATTATCAGAACATGAAAAAAGGGAGAAGAAAAAGAAACAAGATTTGTCTGTTTCATTTTGTCATAAAAAACCTTTTTTTCGACTGATGATTTGCTATTCAATGTGTACTTAATTTTCATTTTATTATGGAATCTTCTAAATTTTTCAAATTGATTTTAAGTTTTCTGCTCACAATATTTTCTTTTTGATAAAATTTTTAGTTGGTTACCTTATCATGAACCATGATTTCCCAGTCATAAATGAAAAAGAAAAAGAAAAAAGAAGGAAGAACAAGAACTGGAAAAGAAGAAACGAGGAAGAAGAAAAGTTGCGGTTGAATACTTGAATTAAGAGAGAGATGTGAGACCCATAAGATGGTTGGATAGTTAGGTCAAAGAAATGGGCATAGGTCTTTTAATTTGGATTGATATTTGTCCAGTTCGGCCCATTGCCACGTTTGGAGATCTTTTAGGTTTAGAGGTGATTTTATCTACTTTGCTAACTGTAGGGACATATTTAGACAGAAAGTAGAACGAGGTATAAACGTGAACAATTCACCAAAGTGGAGGTACAAATTTGGCCTTTTCCCCTAAATTGAAATGGGTGGAGTAATAAATCTTGACATATGAATATGAAACGTCAATAACACATAATAAGAAAGTGATACAATCTATTATTTAAAGTAAATAAAAATAAATGCACTTTATAATTCTATTAAATATTATATCCCATGAGAAGATCTCAAATATTTCTAGACATTTTTTAAATAAAAGTATATATAAAGTCTTTAAATTATCTATAAAAAATTATATATTTGTATGTCGATTTGTTTCGAATTTATTTTATTCAATATTAAACCAAATCAAACCAAACCTAATCGAATTTTTTAATCGATTTGATTTGAGTTTTCGATTTGTTCGGTTCGTACATGTCTAGAGCACACATTACTTTCTTAGAATATTTACTAAAGGGAGTAGCATTTAAGACTTGACATGACCTTCTGCTGTTTAATTTTGAAAATTGTAAATCAAATTGTGGAATTTAAGAGGAGACTTGACTTTTTGAAAGAAATTATAAAACTTCAAAATTAAGAGGATAGTGAAATTGAGCCCCCTTTTCCCTATAAATAAATTGACACTCGTTAAACAAAAGCTACTATTTCTTTCAAAATTAATTTCTATTTTGTGCTTGAGACAATGTTTTACAAGGCTGCGCTTACTTTCTTTATGTTCTTATTACTTTTGGCTGGATTGCTCTCCCCTGTAGCACCCACAAGAATGGATAGGGCGAGTAAGTTAATTATATTTTATTTTTTTTCGAAATTAATGTTTGGCCATAAAATTTTTAATTTTTACTTGAAGGTGAATTTTGAATTTTTCAAAAAATTTAAAAGCTCCAAAAAGTTATTTTTTAAAATTCACTCAGATCACTTACAAAAAATTAAAAATAACTCAAAATTATATTCATGTCCAAACACAACTCTAATTTTCAAATATCATTTTCACAAAAAAAAAAAAATTCACTTTTTCCGAAATTTTACAATTCTTATGTCCAAACACCCACTTAAATATACCACACCTGTAAATAGAGCAGAGGTAGTTACACAAATTAAGAAGTTATAGAAAAATAGAGTTACTTCAAAAGTTAAAGAAAGCAAAGAATATAGGAGTTTAGTTCGACAAGCTCTTTGTAATTAGCTGGGTTTTTTTGTGTGTTGGAGGCGTAAAGTATGTGGTCAGAATTAGGTGCTCTATAAGTGTAATCGTTTGCTGTTGTCAATGGTAATATTTACATTGTTACCAAAAAACACTGCAACTTTTATACAGAAGTAGTCTATAATCGAATAAAATGATCTAATAAGTTTTTTTTTTGTATTTTATTTATCAATCTTCTATGAAATTGTCATGCAACTAAAAGAATATATTTAATGAACAATTTTTCTTTTGTTTTGGTTCCACAGTGATAGCAAGAGATCTGAGTCAGAGTATTGCTGCAATTGGTGCTCCGATACATAAGAGCCCTTCAGGTCCTGGAAATAATTAGGGATGAAATTAAGGCAAAGAAGTTTCGCTACCGTCAACTATTAATCGGTTGTTACTGTTATTGTTGTTGTTATTATCTTTATTTTTTGCTAATAAAGAGTCTTTATCTCCACGGCGATAAGTACGAGCGGAGGGAGAGTAGAAGCTCCGAGTTCGGTCGAATCAAATAGTTTTAATCCAAACCATGTACTTTTTCTCTTACAAAATTTATTGATTATGAAAAAATAATTTAGTATCGACTAACTTAAAAGATTTAAAATCCCGAACTTATAAGTTTCAAATCCTGATTCCGCCTATGTGTCAATGATCATGCTGCATGCATAGCAATTTTTAGCTAGGTACGTAGTAAAAATGTTTTAAGTTTTTAGGTACTTTAATTTTGGTACAATTGAATTTATAGCGTGATTTATAAATAACCGAATCGGTTTAATTCAAAAATGATAAATAAATAAATAAGAATAAAAATTAGATTAGCGAATAAAGTTAAAGGAAATAACAAGCATGGTTAAAGACTTAACCTTTCCGATGACAAGAGCAAGAAAGATTTCAAATGCTTGAGTTTATCATAGTAAGAAAATAGATTACAACTTTTGTGAATGTTTCATGTGTCTATTATGGTTGTTAACCCCACTATTTATCCCTCTACCTAGGGAGACAAGATCCTAGAAACAAGCTAGAACAAGAATAAAAATGTTATTGATGGGCGTATAAGGCTTTGAATGCAAATATTCTTTGTAACAACTGCTCATTAAATGCTTATCCGTTGTCAAGCCTTTGAATCTCTATATTCGGTTATGCTTCCTTCGCTATCCACCTGGTACCAGTTATAAACTTCGCACCTGATGTCAGTTATTTGTCGACTCATCCTCTACCTGTCTTTGGTTCCACGTGTCACTTTATCATTCAACCACCTGTTATCAACCAATTTCACCCCATTCAGCGGCTAAGGTGGTTTAAAATCTTTGTGAGATTACTGGTTCAATTCCCACTAGCCACAATCTCGTGTAACTTTATAATTTTTTTTCTTTTTTGAACCCCTTTAACTAAAATTTTTGTAACGACCCGGACGGTTGTTTTGACTATTGCAATCCCGTTCCCCCATTTACTGCTCAAAATATGATTTACGGTTGTTATTTAGTTTGCCGGGGTAATTGGATCGGGTCCAGTGAGGTTTTGGAATGATTTGGAACACTTAGTTCCAAGGTTTAGAATTTAAGTTGAAAAGGTTGACCGGATGTTGACTTATATGTAATGACCCCGGAAAAATTTTGCTAAGGAAATTAAGGTTTTGTGGTGCCGAGGTAGATCAATTAGTACAAAGCTCGGACTTTTTGGGTTGAACAATGCACCGATGTGTAAAAAAAAAAATTTGCCAGAAAAAGGGTCATTTCTGCGACCACTATGCGGTCGCAGAATCACTTTGCGGACCGCATAATGGTCGAAGAGTGGATCAGGAGAGGGGCAAGATTTGAGGAAAATCTGCGGTGCATTATGCGATCGCAGACCTGTTCTGCGGTGTATTATGCGATCGCAGAATAGGTATGCGGGACACATACTGACAGCAGACCGGGTCAGTCACGCCCAGCTTTGGAGGCCAAATTATGAGGCCAATATGCGGACCGCATATGTGTTATGTGATCGCATAACTGCGTCAGGGCTTCCATTCTTTCTAATTTTTGACCCGACCCAACTTCGATTTATAATCCTTGAAGCTTTGTTTTAGCCAAAATCTGACATTTTAGAGAGAGGTGAGAGCATTTTAGATAGAGAAAGTGAAGACTTGGTCATTTATCCATCAATTCTTGTTCAAGGTTTGAAGATTTCACAAGGATCTTGCTGGGGCTTCAAAGAGGTAAGAATTTCTTTCCCAATTCTTCAATTTCGGGTTTGGAGTAAAGATGGGTAATTAAAAGTATGATTCTAGGGTGTTAGAGTATTATTTATACATACACATACCAATAAGGTTTATGAAAAGATTATTGAGTTCAAATGGGTAAAGATTGGGTTGAAAATGGTATAAATCTTCAAAGAATTTAATTGAAGATTTGAGGGTCGAGTTGATGTCGGAATTTGGTGAAATTTATATGGTTGGACTCGTGGTTGGATGGGCATTCATATTTTGTAAATTTTGTCAGGTTTCGAGAATTGATTCTCACGGGCGATTTTTGAGTGAATTTCGGATTTTTATTGGAAACTTAGTATTTTCTTATGGAATTAATTACAATAATTGGTATTGACTGAATCGAATTAATTGTGGCTAGATACGAGGCTTTCGGAGATCAATTCTAGGGGCAAGGCATAGCGGAATAAAGAATTACACGGTTTGAGGTAAGTAACAGTTCTAAATTTGGTCATGAGGGTATGAAACCCTGGATTATGTGTTAGATGATTGGTTTTGAGGTGACACACATGCTAGGTGACAGGCGTGTGGGCATGCACCGTAGAAATTATGACTTGGTCAAATTCCATGGGACTGTATAGTTGAATAATCTGTTGATATCCGTACATTCTCTACGTGTCAGAGAAAATTGAGCTGAGACTCATATTAAAAATCATGCTTAGGCATATGTTGTTATTATTGTGTCATGACCCAAAACCCATTAAAGGTCGTGATGAGGTCTAACATCGTTGTCAGGCAAGCCAACCTTGACTAATTAATTTAATTACTCATTTTAGTATTTCTGAATCGAAATTTTCTTCAATTAAATAGTAAAGATAGAATTCATATAGTAAGTGATAAATATTTTAGCAACTAAATTACTAAACAACCCATAACTGTGATGACCCAAAATGCCATCTTTAAATTTAATAAGTAATTCTGTGTTCTAAGACTTAGAAAAGTACCATTTATCATTCTTCGACTTGCGTGCGCAGTCCGTATAATTTTTCGGAAAGTTTTTATGTGCAAAATGGATTAAAATATGAAATAGAGCTTTAAAACTCAATTGAGTTGACTTTGGTCAATATTTTTAGCAAACGGACCCGGATCAGTATTTTAACAGTTTCGGTACTCCGTATCGTGATTTGGGACTTGGGCGTATGCCCGAAATCTAATTTGGAGGTTCCTAACTCAAGTTATAGCCATTTAACGGAACTAGCAATTTAAAAGCTAAAGACTTTTAAGTTTGACCATGGGGTTGACTTTTTGATATCGGGGCCGGAATCCGATTCTAGAAATGTGAATAGCTCCATTATGTCATTTATGACTTGTGTGCCAAATTTGAAGTCATTCCGGATTCATTTAATATATTTTGGCACAAAATTTGCAAATTAAAAAGTTTAAAACTCAAAGTGCGAATCGAAGTGTGAATTGCAATTTCGATGTTATTTGATGTGATTTGAGACCCCGAGTAAGTCCGTATGATATTACGGGACTTGTTGTGATATTTGGATAAGGTCCCGAGGGGCTCAGGTGAGTTTCGGATAGGCCACGGGATGTTTTGAACTTAGAAAATTTTGCTGGTATAACTGAACCCGTTGCAGGCCTCTGATCTCGCAATTGCGAGTTTATCTTCGCAATTGCGAAGGACCAATTATCGCAAATGCGACATAATCTTCGCATTTTCGAAGGCAGCGAGATTGTGAAGGGCATCGCAATTGCGAGTGTTTCTTCGCATTTGCGAGCTTCGCATTTGCAAAGCTCAGGTCGCAATTGCGACACTTGCAACTGAACAAAATGACTTTTGGACGGGAGTTTTGATTCATTTCTCAAATCTTCAATACCTAAAGCCTCAAGAGGCGATTTTGGGCGATTTTTACGGGAAAATATTGAGGTAAGTATTCCTTATCCTATATTGTTTATATTTCATGATTTCATACTCATTTATATCATGAATACGTGAATTTATGGAAGAAAAATCAGGTTTTTCTAAAACTTTCCAAAAATGAAAATTTAAGATTTGAAGGTCCATTTGATATCGGAATTGGATAATTTTTGTATGGTTGGACTCGTCTAAGAATGGGTGTTTGAATTTCGTAAGTCTTTCTGAGATTTGAGACATGGGTCCCACTACTGAATATTTTAATGAATTTTGGATTTTATCCGAAAAATTAGTAAATTCATATGGAATTAATTCCTATGATTAGTATTGAGTATATCGAATTGTTTGTGAATAGATTTGAAGCTTTTGGAGACAAATTTAAAAGGAAAAGCTGTGGTTGAGTAATTGATTGGAATTTGCAAAGCGAGGTAAGTGTCGGGGTTAACCTTGACTTGAGGGAATAGAGCCCTTTAATTATTTGTTATGTGAATTGCATGTGAATGACGTATAGGCGAGAAGACGAGTGTCTATATGTCGTCAAATTAATTGTTTGCCTGCTTACATGAAAAATCATAAATTATTTTAAATCATAAATTAATTATTATAATAATTATTTCTCTCTTATTCTTTATCAAATATTAATTCTTGAATTCCTGCATTAATTGTTACATGTTATTTGAATTATGTGTTTTAATTGTTATTTGACATTTAGCATATTAAATATTAAACTGCCTATTTTCTCCCCGATCTCTATAATAATTTGCTATTTGTCATTGTTTGTTTCATAATTAAATCATAATTGTTGTATGCTTGTTGTCTTATAATTTTATATTAATTGTTGCATTTATTGGGAAAATATTTTCTATAAGAATTGATTGAAATGGATATATTGGAGGATCAGGTTGCACGCCGCAACACACTTATTATAAGTCAATATTGGAGGATCGGGTTGCACGCCACAACAGACTTATTAAAAGTCCATATTGGAGGATCGGGTTGCACGCCGCAATAGACTTATTGAAAAGTCAATATTGGGGGATCGGATTGCACGGCGCAACAGACTTATTTAAAAGTCTATATATATACTTGATTGAAATAAATATATGACAGACTTGATTAAAAGGAAAATATTGGGAGAGCGGGTTGCACGCTGCAACAGAATTGAATGTGAATATATTGTGAGAGCGGGTTGCACGCTGCAACATAATTAGTTAAAATAATAATGGATTATGACTGTTGGGTGGGATTCAATTATTATAAATGAGTTACCTGATTTATTTCTATATTTGTTGTTGTTATTAATATTGCGTACAAGTTAACGTAAGTGAACCGCCTTAGCCTCGTCACTACT